AGCGCGGGGCCGATTGGGGCCTCTAGGGGCGAGCGCGGGGCCGTAAGGGGCCGCTAAGGGCGAGCGCGTGGGCCGACGGGGCCTTAAGGGGCGGCGCGCGAGTCGCTAAGGGGTGGGTCGCGGGTCGCAGGGCCTTAGAGGGCCGTGAAAACCGAGGCGCCCTAGGGCGCAGGTAGGTAGGTAGGTAGGTAGGTAGGTAGTGGTGGGCCCTAAAAAATCGGTCCTAGGAAGGACCTGCTCTATACCATGTTGAAATGAATGAACAGGAATGATTGAACTAACAGTGAAATCAGTACAAGTACCTAACCCTAGAATTGTGTACCCCCTATAGGCTAACCCACTGTAGCCTAAACAAGCACAACATATATAATGTTTGACAGTGCCGATTGCTGGTGTTGCTCGTAGAAGGACATGAAGGAGAAATACTTCTCCATCATGCTCTGGTCGAAGTCTGCAGGTTGATTCGCGGGAGTCTCAGTAGATGTTGCTCTGGGTCTTGTTGCCGTGCCCTCCTCTGTCTGTAGGCCAAAGGCAGGAGGTGGAGTAGGAGTAGTGCCCTGGGAGCCGTTGGAGTTGCTCCTTTCCTTTTGTGTAGCCATGCTTGTCAGAATGTTACGCTCTAGCCTGTAGTGGGGTGCTCTATAGCGAGTACAACCCTTCTAGGGTTTGCTATTTGTATCCTCATTCTTGCTAGTGCAATCCTCTCTTTTTGCCTAAACTGTCTCTTGCCTAGCTAGGGCTTTCCTAGCTATGGCTCCTAATCCTACCGCTTATTTTCACATGGTATTAGAGCGATATGCTCCTGGCCTGTGGGCCCCACCTCACTGCTTCCGCTGCTACTGCTACTCCCTGTCCGCCGCGCGCCCCGTGGTGCGCGGCGTCGAAATTAGGGTTTTCAGCCCGCCGTGCGCCCCGAGGCGCACGGCGGTTTTCTTGCCCGCCGTGCGCCCCGAGGCGCGCGGCGGGTTTCTGCCCCGTCACGCCGCGCGTCGCTTCCGGGAGGCGCTGCGACGGGCGACGGGGACCCGCGCGTCGCCCCCCGTCGCCCGTCGTGGCCTGCGCGCGGCCCGTACGGGCTGCGCCAGGCCCGCGCGCGGCCCGTACGGACTGCGCCAGGCCCGCGCGCGGCCCGTACGGGCTGCGCCAGGCCCGCGCGCGGCCCGTACGGGCGGCGCCAGGCCCGCGCGCAGCTCGAGCCGCCTTCGCGCGGTTCGGGAGGCTGTGCCAGGCCCGTGGGCGGCCCGTTCCTCGCTGTCCCTGCCCTCCCCGCTGTCCCCCGTGCTTCTGATGGCGCCCCACCCCTCCTCCTGCCCGTTCTCCTGAATTAGGGTTTGGGGGTGGGGGGTATGGGGGTGCAGCTTCTGTGTGCCGTTCCCTACTCCTCCTCCTCCTCCGTCTCCCTGTGCTGCAGCTGCCGCTGAGGGGGGGTGGACCTGTTGGAGCCGTTGGAGTGGTACTAAGGGGGGGTGAAGGGGGAGTGGAGCTAGGGGTGAAGCAGGGGGTGTGTGTCAGGGGGGGTGGTACTGTTTGGGGGAGGTTGAACGGAGGTTGCCGTCGTGTCGCCAGCAGCACCTGTAGTCCGGGGAGTTGCTCCGGTAGCCCAGTTGTAGCCACCTGTGCCAGTCGCCCGTGGGTCCGTTGCTCGTCTGCCACTACTTTTAGCCGCGGGGGCCAGTTACTCCAGTAGTCCGGAGCGCTGTTCCGGTAGCCGCTGTGCCAGTGTGCCTCCTGTTGCCCGTGTGTCTGCAACTTCAGCCGTCGCCTCCTATCTCCTCTCCTCTCACTGTCCCTCCTCCTCCTCACTTGCCCGTTGTGACTACCACTAGCTTTGCTCATAATTGTGAACTTTAAACTATTGCTTCTTGAACTTGTGCTCAGAATGTGTGGTGACATTGTGATCCACCCTGAGCTTGTTCTGCTTTGCTTGCTTTGCTGATTACACCCCACTTTGGCTATGGGGGTGTGTCAGAATGTTATGCTCTAGCTTGTAGTGGGGTGCTCTATAGCGAGTACAACCCTTCTAGGGTTTGCTATGTGTATCCTCATTCTTGCTAGTGCAATCCTCTCTTTTTGCCTAAACTGTCTCTTGCCTAGCTAGGGCTTTCCTAGCTATGGCTCCTAATCCTACCGCTTATTTTCACAATGCTGATTGATGTTGACGGTATAGAAGTTGAATTCCCCATGATTGCTCTCATACCATGTTGGGCTGAAAAGGCCCTTAGGATCTTTTGCAGGGGTGAACTCTGTGTAGAGTTGGTGTAGTAGCGGAAGCGTTAATAAAGACTTGTGAACCACCTTGCGCTAGTATGTGAGGGCAAAGTAAGTTGATTAAAACAAAGAGATACAAGATTATATAAGAGTACAAGGAATATGAAAGGATACGGTTATAACTGTTTTACTTGTTGCTGTTGCGGTTCGATACAGTAACGACTCGGGCAACTGCTCTGTAGTGAGTCAGTTGTGTGTCCTTGCTGTCGCGCTGTACTTGTCAGGTCAAAGGTCGCTGACCTTTGACTTTCGCGTAACCTCCAGCGGCTACTTCAACCTCCGAGGGTTGACTTGCTGGTGCCTCGATATGCTTTGCTCCGCTTGTGCCTTAGTGTTTCGGCACGACAAAGGCGCTTAGGACCGATTGCTTCCAACAGCTAGGACGATTGGTATTCCCCTGTACTATTATTTGTAGTGCTGTATTTGCATGTTTTCATTATCTCAAACATTTACATTCACTCTGCTATTGAGATCAAGGGCCCACCACCACTAAATTAGTAGTGTGCAAACCTTCCTGAGGTGATCATGGCTACGATCAACTTCAGATCGCCACACTTCCCTTGCAAACGTGCCTTCCCTTGCAATATCGCCCTGATTATGCAGCACATGGTAAATTTCAACCCCAATTTAACAGTAAATACTCTGTTTAGAGTATTACTTAAAAGGATTCGCTGAGCAATAAATATGGATTAGCTGGTTCTGGAATAAGTGTGCGCCACGGGGTGCAGCATGCTGTATGGAGGACTGTAGAAACGAGTTCTCTGTATTGCGCACCCAACCTGCGTGCTGCCGAAATTCCACGGAACTTCTCTGTGGGACCTTCAAGCTGGTGCTTCCGTCAAAGCGATTCTTCTGTTCCGCAAATCCACGTCATTCCTGACGCCCATCATCCACGCAGGCAGCGCTCCGTCAAGGAGGAACAAAGTTGGTTTCACCGTCAGGAATGGCAATACCTATGAATCCACTTGTTTGTTTGACCAGGTTGGGAAGGCTCTAGTATGGTTTGGTGTGGTATGGTAATTTTCTGTGGCTCATGCTGCGGTGCTGTGGCCATCCCCTAGGGCATCCTTCTCGTCTCGTCCCATACATACTACACGGGCGCGTGTACGTACAGCTTCAATGGAGGCTCTGGCAGGGAAATAGGTCACACCACCACACAAACTGTTTGGTTGAGAAAGTGGCATCACCAACACCAATCATGCAGGAGTAGTCATGGGTTGCCAACGAGCTGTGCGGGACTTGTAAGGGCATTACCGATTTAATTATTAAAGTTTCTTTAATATCTCCGCTTTAAGGTTATTATTATTTAATCTATACCTGATGAGTTGCTTGACAGCCACTCCGATGCACGGCACGTGGTGAGCCATGAGTGGTCCATATAGAGGTTCCCGATGGGGCCTCACAAGACGGTAGGCCGCTAGCCAACGGTCGTTTAGGCGCAGAGCTGTCGCCGCCTCGTGGGCTGCACGCTCGGCTGCCATCGTACGAGGATCAGCAGGGCCATGCAGAGCAGGCTCAGACGCAACAGGCTCCGGCGCAGCAGCTGGTATACTGGGAGCAGCAACAGCAGCAACAGCAGCAACAGCGGCAGCAGCAGCAGCAGGGTCAGCAGCAATGGCAGGAGCCGCCGCTGCGAATGCCGCCAGCGCCGGTGCCGTACGGCCAGCGGCAGCACCAGCAGCTGCAGCAGCAGCAGCAACCGCCTCGGCCGGGCCTGAGCGCTCGACCGCGTGCGACAGCCAGTTCGTCCTACGAGCAGCGACCGTCGTACGAGCAGCGGCCATCGTACGAGCAGCGGCCATCGTACGAGCAGCGGCCGTCGTACGATCACCGACCGCCGTACGATCACCGTGCGTCGTTCGATCAACGGCAGTCGTACGAACGAAGGCCGTTATCCGCATCTCCCGGTATCGCCGCGGTTCGTTCGTACAGCACGGACGTCCCTCCCGATTTTTACAATCCGCGACCGCTTTCGGCAGCAGCGGGCGTGCCACGTGGCCGCAGTGTGAGCGACGACGATGGGTATACCGGAGACGACTCGACGTCAGGTCGACCAATGGTTGACCGACCCGTGGAAGGCCGACAAAACCGGTCCGTCATCCGGTTATCCCGCAAACCCTTATCAGGCCCCTCATCAGGCCCCTTATCAGGCTTCTTATCAGGTCCCTTATCAGGTCCCTTATCAGCCGCCGCAGCCGCCGTACCATCACTCGCAGCTTAGTCCTCACGGCGGCGACATTGCGTTGAAAAAGCCTCTTAGTCCGAGACAGGTCAGGAGCCCTAGAGCGCTTAGCCCGCTCGCTGCTGCCGCGTTCGGCATGCGCGGGGGTTACGGCGCGCCGGGAGGGGGAATGAGGAGTGCGTGTACGGGGAAGACGAGGAGGGGGAGGAGGAGGAAGGCCGCGAGCGCAGCTTGCGCGCGGGGATATTGAGGGGCGCGGCGGCGCTGAGGGAGCGGCAAGCGGGGTCGTCGGACGACGGCGCGAGTACCTCCCCCACGTCTATTGGCTCCCCCGGGGTTCTGCCGGGCGGGGGCGCGGGATGGAGCGGAGGGGCCGGCGGAGGATTAGGCGGCGCAGGCGGAGGATCTGACCCGTCAAATCGTCCCTAGCACTGCGAGCAGCACCAGCAGCACCATGAGCGGCGGCGGCGGCGGGTTTGGCGGAGGGTTTGGCGGAGCGGGGAGTAGCAGCAGCAGCAGCAGCACGGGGGTGACGGTGATACGCGGAGTCATGGCCGGCGGATCCGTGGGTAGAAGCGGGGGAACAACCCTAGCGGGAAAGCAGGTGGTGATTCGAATTCGACCAAGAGGCGGCTCCATAGACGCGTCGCACGGAGTGGGTTCCACCAGCAGCAGCAGCGGCGCTGGCGGCGGCGACGGCGGCGGCGGCAGCGCGGCGGACGTAGGCAGTGGCGCGGCGGCAGCGGGTTTCACGGCGACGGTGACGGCTGTGCTTCCGGCGGGCGCGGGGTCCCCCCGTTCCCCGTCCAGCGCGCGCAAACGGGAGGCGGGGGGGGCGGGCGCGCCTGGCGCGGGCGGAGGGAGGCTAGAGGGGGTAGGTAGGCACACATTCGCAGCAGGCAGCACAGGCGGCGATGGTGCTACGGAAGGCGGGTATTCCCGAGAGGCCAACCTCACTCTCCCTGGCAAGCGAACCGACGCCTCGGCCGAACCTAGGTTCAAAGGTGTGACGCGGTTAGGCTCGGTGGCGGCTGCCGAAGCAGCAGCCGCGGCAATTGCGGTGGCAGACGCGGCGGCTGTAGCGCAGGCGGGGAAAGCGGGGTGGGAGCCGCCTCTCAGCCCCCCAGGGGTGCCCGCCATCCCCGCGGAGGGCCGTCTGAGCAGCGAGGGAGACGTTTTTTCTTGAGTATCTGCGCAAGGCGGGCGAGGGGAGGGCAGCTGCGCAGTATGACGTGGCAGTGTGCTACGGAGGGGGCTTTGGCGTGAAGCAGGATAAGTCCCTCGCCGCGTACTGGTTCCGAAAGGCGGCAGAGCAGGGATTGGCGCGCGCACAGTACGCTCTAGCAGAGTGCTACGAGGCAGGCGCGGGCGTTGAGAGAGACGAAGAGGAGTCCTTCCGGTGGTTCTTCCGGGCGGCGAGCTTCGGCAGCGGCAAGTACTTAGTCAAGCTGGGGCTGTGCTTTGAGCGGGGATTCGGCGTGACAGAGTGTCCTGTAGCGGCGCTGTACTGGTACCACAAGGCGGCGGAGCAGGGGCCGAAATTCGCAGCGCAGGTGGAGAAGCGCATGGAGGTGCTGCAGCGGCAGCGGGAGGAGGAGATCATGAGCGCGCGGGGGGAGGGCGTGCCGGTGGAGTGCATCTGCCCGCTGACAGGCAGGATGATGGAGGACCCGGTGGAGCTGCCTGAGACGGCCGTGTGCTGTGAGCGCGCCCAGGTCAAGACGTTCTGGGACCACTGCGAACTCAGATGCCCTGTTACCAACCAGGTGGGTGGGTTACAAACCAGGTGGGTGGGTTACAAACCAGGTGGGTGGGTTACCAACCAGGTGGGTGGGTTACCAACCAGGTGGGTGGGTTACCACCCAGGTGGGTGGGTTATCTAGGTGGGTGGGTTACCTATCAGGTGGGTGAGTTACCTATCAGGTGGGTGAGTTACCTATCAGGTGGGTGGGTTACCTATCAGGTGGGTTACCTATCAGGTGGGTTGGTCACCAATCAGGTGGGTGGGTTACCTCGTTAAATCTGGCCGTTTCACCTCTTTGATTTGAAAGGTTTTCCTTTTGTTCTTTTGCCGTTCCTCGTTGCTTTTGCCCTCCCGTATTATGCTCAGACTCCACACTCCCTCTGTTTGTCTCTGCTCTTCAACCATCCCTTTCAGGCTTCCTCCTCTCATGTTTAAACCCTTCACCCTTGTCTTTGCACTCTTCCCACCTTCCCTCCACCCACCCACCCACTTACTCTCCCTGCGCCAGCCTCTCAAGGTGAAGGACATGAAGACAAATCTTGCCATCCGGCGCCGGGTCACTGAGTGGAAGGTAGGCACCCTACATTTTCCAGAGCTTTTTTTGTTTTCCTTAATTTTCAGTAGCTTCTCTGTTCCTCACCCTCATTCCATGTTACCACCACCCGCGCCCATGTCTCCTCTCCCCCAACCTGTCTATCCATTCGCCCACCCCCTCTGCAGCTCCCCATCCCTCTCTCCCCGCCACCCCTCGTATTCCCCCCACCCTCCCCTTCCCACCATTCGCCATAACCCCTTGCTCCTCAAACCCTGAGCAAACCTTTTGGTTTTAGTATTTTTTAAAGCCAAATCTTCTCCTTGACTTCCCAAACCCTGCTCACAAAAAGAGCCCCTCGTTCCCTCCCCATCCCGCCATTCCCAAATTATCTCTCTACCCCCACCCAACTTTCTTCAACCCCACCCCACACGCTCCCTCTCTTCTCCTTGACCCCTGACTCCCCCCGGTGAAATCCCAGTGCAAGCGGCAGGCGGAGCAGGAGGCGCTACAGGGGCCAGTGGGGCCTCCAATACGAGCTCCTCCCTTTCTCCCCATCCCTCCCTCCCCCTCTCCCCCCCTCTTCCCCCGCTCCAGCGCAAGCGGCAGGCGGAGCAGGAGGCGCTACAGGGGCCAGTGGGGCCTCGGGCGTCCACCTGCCAGGCAGTCGAGGGCGATGAGTGGGGGGACGGAAGGGGAAGACGAGGGGGAGCACGGCCGGGCTTATGGGCCGCACGAGGAGGAGGAGGACGAGGAGGACGAGGAAGGGGAGGAGGGTGTGGGTGGGACGGCGGTGGACAAGGTTGGGCTGGGGAGTGTGGGAGGGAAGGGGAGGGGAAGAGGTGGAGAGAAGGAGGGAGAGAGGAGGAAGAGCCGGTTTTCTAGGGATCTATCAGAGGAAGGGGAGAGGAGTGGGGCGAGTGAGAGTGAGAGGGAGGAGGAGGAGGAGGTTGGTGGGAGGTCGAGAGGGGCAGGTGGAAGAGATACAGGGGATGGGTTGGAGAGAGGAGGAGGAGGAGGGGGGGAGGAGAGGAGGGACAGGCACAGTGATAGTGACACTGGTTCGTCGTATGTTAGTGATGAGGATTATGATGACGATTACGATGATGGGGAGGAGCAGAGGCACAAGAAGAAAACGTATAATGATGATGACAAAGTATGATGACGAGGATGAGGGTTATACTTCTAGTGAGTACGACAGGAGCGAGGATAGATCGTCAGGCAGTGAGGGGTACAGGGAGGGCGCGGACAGGGAGACAAGCAGGAAGGGGGCAGACCGTAGGAGTAGTAGCCCTAGAAAGGGGTCAGGGAGGGGGCGAGGGTAGCAGCAGCAGGGGGAGGAGGGATGAAGATGGGTCGGACTATAGTGACAGTGACTACAGCCATAGTGACTCTGACGAGGGGGAAGGCGATGAGAGGGGCAGAGGTGGCAGGGGCAGGTCCAGTGGAGTGGCAGACAGGAGCCGGGAGACAAGCTTCAAGTCAAGAGAGGGGGACAGCGAGGAGGGCGAGGATGGAGAGGAGGGAGAGGTGGCCGTGGGGCGGGCGTTGGCTCGTGATTCGTCCCGCGACCTGTCTCACAGCTACAGCCGAGGCTCCTCCTCCCGGGCGTACAGTGAGAGCGTGCCATCTGAGCCGTCCATGCGCCGAGATGCGTCCCTGGACGAGCCTAGGAGAGTCAAGGTGTCCATGCCCCGGGGTGGGTCAGTTGGTGGGTCTGTGAGAGGGGAGGGTGTTGTGAGGAAAGAAGGGTACTTGTCTGGTGAGGAGGACGGAGACGGGGGAGAGGGGCTTGGTGTGAGTAAGGGCGAGGAGGAAGAGGGTGGAGAGAGGGAATGGAAGGGGGAGGGGCTGAAGGGAAGTGTGGGCGGAGTGGGAGTGGGTGAGGTTGAGGGGTTGGGGATTGGTGGCGTCGAGACGGGGGAGTCAGGAGAAGGGTTGGAAGCGGAGGGTTGGGAGGAGGAGGAGGGGGAGGGGGAGGGGGAGAAGAGGGATCCGACGGAGCTGCTACTGGAGGAGCTGGCTCAGGCCGAGCTGGACTATGGCTTCCCTGGGGCTAATGTGAGTGCTCTTATCACAGAGCGCTCTTATCACAGAGTGCTCTTATTACTGGTGCTCTTATCACTGGTGCTCTTATCACTGGTGCTCTTATCACTGCATCTCAATGTCCACACTTCTCTGCCTGTCCCTCTATCTCTCCTCCCCCGATCCCACCCTCTGGAGGCGAGTCCCACCAGCACCGATCACAGCACAGTCACACCAGCATTCTTCATGGCACGACCGCCTGCCTGCTGCTGCATCGCTTCCGTCCACCCTATGCACGTGATCCGCGCGCTGCCGTGCGCTGTGTTCAGATTCTCACCGGCACATCCCTCTGCGTGCCCTGCCCCTCCACCTCTCTCCCTTCTCCCCCCTCCTCTCCCACACCCCACCCGTGCAGGTGAGTCCGCGCACGGTGAGTCGGTGGAACAGCACGCGCGAGGACAGCCTGCAGGCCGTCAAGAGCGTCGTGGCCGAGGTGAGTGAGGGCAGGGGAGGGGAAGGGAAGGGAGAGGAGGGGAGAGGAGGGGAAGGGGGAGGGCTGGAGGGTAGTTATGCGAAGAGGGGGGGAGGAGGGGGGGGCAAGTTTGTTGAGGGTGATGCTTGCAAACGCCCCATCCCCCCCACTCTTCCCCTTTCGCCCCCCTTGCAGGCGGAGCCAACCAGTGATTGATTGTGGGCCGCGGTGGGCGCTGGCACGCTACCGCGAGGTGCTGGAGAAGCTGCTGCCCGTCGTGAGGTTGCCTGAATAGTAGTCCATACAGAAACCTACTCCCCCCCCTCCCCCTCGTCCTTTCCACCTCCCCTCCGCCCCTCTCAGGCGGAGCCAGTGATTGACTGTGGGCCGCGGTGGGTTCTAATGCGGTACCTCGAGAACCCATCTGCACCGCATTGCATATCCCCACTTCCCCCCCGTTCTCAACCCCTCAGGCGGAGCAAGTGATCGACTGTGGGCCACGGTGGGCGCTGGCACGGTACCTTGAGAGAACCCATTGGAACCGTCTTTGCATCCCCCCCAAACGCGTTATCCCGCGCTTCCCAATCCCTCAGGCGGAGCCAGTGATCGACTGTGGGCCGCGGTGGGCGCTGGCACGGTACCTGGAGGTGCTGGAGAAGCTGCTGCTCGTGCAGCGGGAAGCTGGACAGAACCTTCTGGGTCGTGTGCAGGGGGGCCGGGCGGCTCGGGCAGGGGAGCGGGGGAGGGCGAGGGGGAGGTGTGGGAGGCGGTGGAGGCACTGGAGGGGCTGTGTGCACGGGGGGTGCAGCAGCTGCTGGATGACTTCAGGGCCGCGCTGCTGGCCTGCAGGTACGGTGTGTGGCATTGGAGCGAGGTGGGTGGCTTGTGAGTTGACTCACAAGTCCCTTGAAGGAGGGGGGAGGTGTGGGAGGCGGTGGAGGCGTTGGTGGGGCTGTGTGCGCGCGGCGTGCAGCAGCTGCTGAGACGACTTCAGGGCTGCTCTGCTCGCCTGCAGGTACCTCTCCTATGCCCCGCGCCTGTGCCTGCGCGCGTGCATGCCTTTGATTCGACCCAAAGGGGGTTGTGGGAGCGCGGGGGCAGCAGCTGCTTGGCGACTTGAGGGCCGCCCCCAACACCTGCCCCCCTCCTCCACCCCCTTTCCTTCCCACTACAGCCAGCCCTTGGACACAGCAGAGCTGCATGAGGCGGCAGCAGCAGCAGCAGCAGAAATGGCCCTTGTGAGAGATTCCAGATAATCCTTAAATGTATCCAACACCTCCCTTTTCCCACCCTCTCCCCCCCTGTACCCACTACAGCCAGCCGCTAGACACAGCAGAGCTACACGAGGCGCGGCAGCAGCAGCAGCAGCCCACTCGTCCCGCGCCTCCCCTCCGCCCATCAGGTTCCCGCCCACGCGCCCCCCGCCTCCTCCCCTTCCACCTCCGCCTCCCCTGCCCCTGCCGTCACCACCCTCTCCTCCAAGTCTGGCCCGCTCCCTACCGCCACTGCTAAGCCAAGGGGCACGCGCACAAGGGGGGGGGGGGTCTGCAAGGGAAGGCGGGGAGGATGGGGGAAGGCACTCCGCCCCTTCCCCTCGCCTGCCCATGCTGACAGGCATGGCGCTTCTGGTGCCGCGGGTCAGTGGTGTTGCTGGTGGTGGTGCTGCGGTGTGTGTGATGGGACGGGGTCGTTGGTTGGTGATTCTGTTTCTGCGACTGGGAGTGGGACAGGGAACAGTATTCACAGGAGTGGTAGTGGGGGCGGCGGGGGGAGTGGGAGGGGAAGGGGAGGGAGAGAGGGGAGGGTGATGAGGAGGCCCACCAAGTGGGCGGGGGGCGGACAAGGCAGCGGTGGGGCTGCGGCAGGTGGTGCAGGTGCTGGCTAGAGCAGGCCACTTCGACCGCTGCTTTGACATTTACAGGTGGGCGGGGTGGGGCTGCTGGTGGTTGGGGTTGCTGGTGTGGGGTACCCCAGTGTGTGTGATGGGCGTTGTAGATGGGAGTGCCTCGTTGCAGTCGGTGGAGTAATCTTCCCATGCATGCATGCATGCGTGCTTGTCATGGGAAGGAAGCATGTGCAGTGGAGTTGAGGCGACCCATTGTGGTGGTGTGTGTGTGTGTGTGTTGTGTGTGTGTGTGTGTGTGTGTGTGTGTGTGTGTGTTGTGTGTGTGTGTGCTAGGTAAGTGTGTGGTGGCAAATTGGTGGATTTGTTCAGCAATGGCAAGTGTGTAGAAAAAGCGTAGCTATGTGGCACAGAGTGTCATGTGGATCAAGTACTGCTTGTAACATTCACCTCGCCCTCTCCCTCCCTCCTCTCCCTCCCCCTCTCCCTCCCCCTCTCCCTCCCCCCTCTCCCTAGTCCCCGGCTCTTTCTCTCGCCTTTCTCCTCCCTCCACCATTTCTCGCTTCCTACCCAAGCATCTGAGGTTCCTCCCCTCTCCCATTCCCCTGTTCACCTCCCTCCCTTCTTCCCCACGGTATCAGGTCAGTGAGGGAGGACTGTGTGCGGAGACAATAAAGGCATTAGAGGTGGAGCCTATAAGGGGTACGGCGCACGTGAA